GAAGAAAAACTATAGAGAAAATCTGGATCTCTTTTACTAGAGCTTTAAAAGGTTTACATGGTTTTATAATTTCTTGTGCATTTTAGTCAAACCGTTTTCCTAGTATATCATAGGAATACTTCCATTCATAACATAGTATGTATTAACAGTAAACTTCTTTGAATGACATTTTTACAACCTAGCCAAAGAGAAATTAAAATCTGGTTGTGTGGAAATGTTAATATTAGCACAGACTTGGCTTCGAGGAATTGTGGATGTTAAGATAATGTAGATCAGTCTGAGGCTTTTTTGTCTCTCAGGGTTCAGTTTACCTATGTGTAATGTGGGGAAAGAGATTATCTGTCAGCCAGCTGTGGATTGTACAGAGGTTTTTATTGCACAACCAAGTTGATTCATTTATTTTCCTGTTAGACCTTCAAGATAGAACTTTAAGAGATTGGCATTTTGAAGTATTGATTCAGTGTGTTGATTTTTTACTACTGATATTTGAATGCAAACTTATTCATCCACGTAATGAAACTAAACTTTCAAAGGAGAAATGTTTTTAGGTTATGGCGTTTGACATTTTTCAACTTTAGCCATGATTCAATGTAGTAGTTAAGTTCTCATTTGAGCTCCTATGCAAAGAAAGGAAATTTGCTTCTGAAACTTAGATGTCTACACGTTAATATTAAAGGTTGTCTAGGAGTTTAAACACCCATGTTTTGAAATGGAAAGTGTTTTTTAATTACTAGCTATAATTATTGTTATATTATCTATTATACAATCTGTACCTTGTAACATGATTAAATTAAAAAATAAGTAAGTAAAAGGAATGTCTTGAGAACTTTGCTGTGTCCACTGCCTGATTCCTGGGTTTTGGATTGATGGCTCTGCGTAAGGGGCCCCTCTGCAGCTTAGACCAGAACATTGACCTCAGAAACGGCTCGTGGTCTAGCATTAATCTGGCTGTGTGTGATTCTAAGCAAGTTCGCTTGTCTGTGCCGCATTAACTCAGCTGTTGTTTCAGAGCTGTTTCTCCCTCACTGGGAAAAGGTTGATTTGGGGTTGGTGGGTGGGGTGGGAATAGGCAGATCATAAAGGAAGCCGTAAAGAAAGTTAAACTGGTAATAAGGCCTTATATAGAATCTGCTGAATGAATTAAATGAGTGGAATTGATAATTCATTACTTTTTCTGTACGTTTACTTAAAGTATTTTACACATCAATCAACAAAAACCATTTTTATAATGTTTTTCATGTGGGAGCAGGACTAAATTATTATATTGCCCTAGTACTTGCCCTGCTAGTAAGACTAGTATTTTTTATAGTCTGACCACGTTAAGTCAGCTTTTTCCTAGAGTGATTTCTCATATTTAAGAGGATGGCATTTATTTGTGGTATGACCAGTGTATGTCTAGCAGGCTTTTATGGTGTCTCCTTCAATTTTGAACAATTTTCTCACTCTTGAAATATTAGGTCACTGATTTTCTGCCATTTGTCTTCCTGAAATGATGCTTCTGTCTTTACTTGTCTGTTTCACATGGGCCTCACAGGGCCCGGCAGCAGCTAGTCATAGAAGCTGTTTGCACCCAGGCGCCTTCACCGGCTGTCCAGCGCCTCCGTGCGCCCAGGACCTGCCCCGTCCTGTCTGCTGTTGGCCGTGGGTGCGCCCCTTCTCTGTTCCAGGCACTCACGGCTCCAAGTGTTGCTGAAAGACGTGTTTCAGCAAGAGCTTGCTGCATTCCTTCTGGCTTTCCTGCCATGGGCACCACATTACACATCCATCGATGTCAGTGCTGGCGGTTTAAGCGTTCCCAAACCTCACGGTCTGTTAGAGATTTTTCCTCTAAGAATTGGAAGGCCCCTAGTTTTGACTAAATTTAATTAAATAAGACAAGGTGGTGTTGCTTTGAGACTAAAGATACTCCTATTTTGAGTACCCCTTCCCCTCCTTTTTTGGCAGGGAACTCCTACACAATTTTATGTGTTTGTTGCTAATGATCATAACCAATGTTATGCAACCTCTTCTCACGACTTAATGGTATAAACCACAGTACTTTAACTGAAGTGGCAAAATTAGGACCAAAATTCTAAATTTCAAATCTTTTGGATGAAAATTAAGCCATCTTGATGAGACTAAAATTGATTACTTAAAAAGAGTACACTCTAATTGCCCTAAAGATAAAAATTTTTTTTAAAAGAGAGAAAAAGGCTTTCCTGCCCAGCTGCCTGCCTACCTACCTTCCCTTCCTTTTGATTGTGATCATCTGTTCTCTCACTTCATCACCCAGTACCATGCTGGAGAACTGACTCATCAGAGCCTCCAGATGAAGAGCGGCAGCTGAAATGTCATTCCCACCTTCCCAAGCCCCATCTCATTTCCCCCAATGTTCTTATTGCCTCCACCGTAGTTTCCATTTGCGGCGGGCTGTGCAGTCATGCTCCTTGGCTTTTGCTCTCAGGCTTATTTCTAGAGGTGGTATTATGGCTTGGAAGGGTTAAGAAATATATGCTGAATTTTTCTTTCTCTTCCCATAGCGTGGATTTCTTTTCCACTGTTTCTATTACCGACATTCAATCTGGAGAGGTGAATGTCAGAAATATCATGGGAAGCAGACATGGTGGTTTTCTTATAGAAGCCAGGATTTGGTCAGTATAACAGGAGGCCCATTTGAGACTGGGTTCGGTTTTTACCTAGGTCAGTGCCCGGGAGACACACGACCCTTGGCCTGTGCTGTGTGGGCCCCTGAGTAGCCCACCCATCTCCCTGTCTGTCCGTCCTTTTCAGCCTCGTTCTGATCAGTGCCTTCTCTGTGACAGACTCTATTGGGGTCTATTAATTAATCCAGCCTTTCATCTCTGTTTTTAAGGAGAATAACATGAAACGAGTTGTTCACAGGTGAAAAGCAATCTCAAATGCCATGGTAATAAAGTTGTCTTTTTTCCAGTTGCAAAAGAAAAGAGGGCTTTCAAACTACTTGCCATGCCCTTTGTTCATGAAGGTATAATTCCTGCCATGTACTTTGTCACTTTCATTTGTCAAGATGTACCAAAAGCTTTGGAGGTGGCCTAGAAAAAATATCTGTGGCCAGCTTACAAGATTGCTTTTCTCAGGCTCATCCCTGACCTCACTAATACTTTATTCTGAAACTAATTGCTCTTGTAGATTATCTTACCAAAACACCCTTCTCAAAGGAATTATTTTCCTATAAATTGATCGAGCAATTTGTTTAAATAACTCTAAGGAAGAAATAGTTCTGTTTATAAAGGAATTAGTCAGCTTCCCACCTTGTAAAGCTGGTCTGTGTCATTAAGGTCATACAGTAAACAGCAGAAACAGAGGCAGCTTCTGCTTGTAAGAAATAGTTAAGTAAGGACTAGTGCATGTCATAGAATGAAGTAAGATACTACTAACACTTCATTCATCACAAGACCACTGTCCATCAGCCTTAACTATGAGAAACACAGACCAGAAGATAGAAGTTGGGTTTTTAAAAAAAAAAAAAAGGCTTTCAAGAGGAAGATAGATGATACATTTTGTTGATTGATGTCCAGTGCTAGCAAAGCTCCCTTATCCGATTTCCTCATCCACAACTAAGAATCTTTGAATGGAAAGGGGAGAAGCGGGTGAGGAAGGAGGAGAAAAAGCTGACAGCCTTGCAGAATAAGAAGAGACAGGAAAACAAAACACAAACTTACGAAAACATAAAAATCTGGGGCCATTTAGAATAAAATCCTATAAAAAAGCCGACACAAAGAGAATGACACTTAATGAGTGTCTGTTAGTTGTGTCCGTTGTAAAGACAGCGATAACTGATTCCCTGGGTGCTCACCAGCTGCAGATCTCTGAGGGGTATCCACTACACCATCGGGCATTCCAGGCAAGGTCCTTCTCGGTTATAATCTAGGGCTTCCGGCCCAAGCCCCTGGTCCCCTTGAGAACCACTCCAGGCCTCCTTTCTCCAAGATCCCACCCTAGTTCTTTCTTAGCATCGTCCTAAGCAGAAAGAATCCCCAAAGTGCAACTTTTGGCCCTTCAATTATTATACTTTCAATGCCCATTACGTTCTGATTTAATCATTTTAAGACAGGTAATCAAAATACAACCAAATCTAGTAAACAAAATCGTCTGCAGGGACAGCACCCTGTTTCCATTGTGCTGGATGGAGCAGTGAACTGGAGAGCTATTCTAAGTTGTGTCATCTGTGCAATTGATTTTTTAAAGATATGTTTTTCTGACTTAGTAAAATACATGATATAAATATCACTGATTATGTAAAACTGCTTAGAAAATAAAACTTTTAGATAAAGCTCAAATATAGCACAATCACCATTTTAAAAAGAATGTATCACTTTTTCTTTCATGCATTTGACACTGTTCTAGTATGACTTCATTGCTATCCAGGTGAGAAACTTGCCTTCAAGTCCAACAGCGTTTCTCTGAATTTCTGGCCAGTTCCAGTTCCTATCCCCCACTTTCCCCAAACTCCTCATTTGCTTAGTAGCTGAGCTTCCATCCTAAGGCACAGAGACTACAGACTATGAACTCCTTTAGCTTTCTGGCCTCCAGCCCCTGCCCTCTACTCCTGCACAGCCATTCTCTCCCGCTAAGCCTTTTTCCAGCTCAGGAAAGGGGAAAAGTAATTATCCTCTTATTCAAAGCTAATCTCTCTGCCCTGGCTCCCATCTCCATCTGACGCCTTCAGGAGCCTTAGAACATGAGTTACTTCTCTTCCCCAGGAATCTTCAAGCAGCCTTTCTCTTCCCCTCTTCCCTCCCACCTCACTTCCAGACCTGGTCCTCTGCTTTTGTTCCCTCAGTTAATCCTCTCCTCTCCAAGTCACCAGGCCCAAAACTCTTAACAGTAACCCAGGTTCTTCCCCTCTCCTCTGTATCTGATTCAATTAGTTACCCAGCCCTGTTGATTCTGCCTCCTAAATGTATCCCTTTCTCTCGATCACCACTGCCTGAGTTCAGATCCACATCTCTATTACCTGGACCACAGCCATAGCATCCTACCTAGTCGGTCTTCCTCCAGCCTTGCTCCCTTGACTGTGTTGCTCTCCTTAAAAATCTTCAGTGGCCCTGCATTGCTCACTGGGCAAAGTATAAATTTGTAGGCGTGGAAAAGGCCCTGTCTGCCTCCTTTGTCTCCTGCCGTGCCAGTCATTCCTGCCCCCACCCGTTCTGAACTTTCTTGCAATGCTCTAAACATCCCATTGTTTCACTCTTGCTGTGTTTCTTTGATTTCCCTGGAACAGCCTTTCCTAATGTACCCCACTCCCCTATGCACACCCCCATTTGGCCCTGGCTGTGCCTGAGCAATGGCCCTCCCCCAGCTGTCCTCACACTGCAGACACTTTCAGCAGAGCATTATCACACCGCATTTAACGGGAGAAACCTATAGTGAATTCCTTGAGCTAATATCCTTTTTATCTTTGAATATATCATCACTTAATAAATGTTTATGAATGAATAAAAGTGATTAATGAGGTCTGTGGAGTCTTACAGGTCACAAGACAAACAAAATTTTAAAAATATGTATTTTAGGTATAAAAATTCAAAAGGAAATCCACTTAAACCCTTTTATACCAGTAGAAATTTAGTAAGCTTTTGGTGCTTCAAGGCCTATCTCTAGAATAATTTCCTGGAGAGCTATATAAGCTACCTTTACAAATCGTTTTAAAAAAAAACAAAATTAAAAACAACAACAATAAAACTAGTTGCAAATGGCTCAGGATGCCTTTATAAAAAGCTATCCAAGAAGAGAATGTATAAATAACAATATCCTAAAGATTGCTTTCTGAGATACACGTGTGATCCTTTAATTGGCGAACATTGGGCCTGCTCAGACCGTTAAACCCTTTCTTCAGCACATGTAATGTGAAGAGACGTCCCAAGATTTTCAAAATAACCACGTTCACTACTGCTTCTGTGAAGGAGACGAGGGGAATTGGTCTATCATAACATCTCAGTGCTCAGTGCTGTTGGCCAAGAGCCCTCGTTTGTTTATTTCACACCATCTATTCTGTTTTTGCTCCTCCAATGTAATTTTAAGACCCTTTATCATGAGATAACTGCAGGTACAAAACTGGGACTTCCTCCACACTTGTAGTCCATTTTTGTTAACCTTACCAAGTTAAGTAATCCTGGACTATCCTGAGATCTGGCAACTGTAAGCCAGTTTGTATCGCAAAAACTTTCCCAAAGAATACCTTCACAATTCTGTAGCTATTTCGTGGTTATACAACTTTTTTAATATGAGTCAATGCTATCCGTTTCACTTATTCCTCTCAGAGTAAAGCAAGGGTGCATACTTCATCCATTTTATTCACTCAGGAACTCAGGTAAACGCAAAGACATCACAGACTATCTGGATGTTGATCTTGGGCTCTGCTTCAGGAACTCCAGGAAACGCTTTCAATTTACAGGCCCTGATCATCATTAACAATCCAGAGGCAACTGTCTCTGCATAGTTTTTTCCATGAAAGATGCTTTTCCATAAAAGACAGAGAAGGGATTATGCCCTTCTTTTCAAAATCAACAGTGTTTTGTACCCAAGCTCATTTGGCAATGGCCAGAGTTACAAGCGCATACCTAGTTGGAATGAAGCCCAGGTTATCCATTGCAGCCTTATATGGAAAGTTTGGCCAGGAGTAATATTTTGAATTCTGATATATCGTATTTCATTGATTCTGATATGTACTTTTTTTTCATTTTAACATCTCTGAAATTGGGATTTATCTTATCGATGGCTTCTCACAGTTTAATTGGCATAATTTTTCTAAATGGAATATATGTGTCTTACATTCAATGTAAATCTTACATTCAGTAGCATCTTAAGTTTGAAATAATAAGTTATATGTATATATATCTTAAAAATCATTTACTCGATTTTGAAGATCTATTCAATACATAAATGGAAGAGTAGTAAAAATGGCAGTCTTAGCTATGAATTTCACTATTTGCAGTAGCTGCTTTGGCAGATATTTATGTTGGAAACAAATCATCACATTTTGTGATTTCCACTCTCTTGTATTACTGTTTTCTGCAGGAGGAAATCATATATATAAGAAATTATCTCACGTAAATGTAATTTGATACAAATCAGTGGGTTCTTTGTTCCATCTCCCTTTTCTTTTAACTTATTTCTTGAATGCATTTTCAGCCAATATTTGCTCAGAAATCTTAAAGTGTTACTGATAATACTCATGATTTTTTTCTTTTATTCTTTAATGTTTGGGGTTTAGATTCATTGCTTCTCTAGTCTACCAATATTTTTTCATCTGAGTTAAGCTAGAATGTCTTTGCTTTCCTATACATAACAGTCTAGAGGTATCTTAGCGTGTAAATCCTCGCTTCTTTGGAGATTCCTTTCTTAGGGATAAAGGAATCAAATGCACTAAGACCTTTATGAGCTGGAATGATTGGTGAATAATTACTATTAACTATAGTTTTTTAAGTGTATTCATTCTCTTTGCTAACACTGTAAGTATCAAATGGTTTTGAACAGAAGTTGGCCCTTTTTGATGATTCAGTTGTAAGCAGTCACTAAGTATCACCTTTAACATCTGTGGCCCTAACTGAGGTCACAGAGGGCAGAAGGTGGATCATCTGACAAAACCCTCACTAGATGCAGACATGCTCTACACTGCTCCTTGTCCCTCCTCAGGCCGTGGCACTCAGAAAATGCCAGTGGATTTGTACAGCACATAGCTGAGGCTGCTTACAGCTGGAGGGGACTGGGTGGAAAATTCCACTGGAGACATTGTTTTCAAAAGTAAATCACAGAATATTGTTTGATTTATCACCATTTCTAAAACAAAGAGGAAATCAAGCCCTGAAAGAAATTTCAACTGCTTGTCAGTTCCACTCAGCCAAGGTTTTTTTTAATGTAACCATACCATGCCTCCTCAGTCCTAACTATGGCTTATACGTTGGTGCCTTCACAGGAAGCAATTTCCTCATCTGTGTGTTTTCCTTCTGGCCACTTTGTCGCTCCTCTCTTTCAGGTCCATACATTCAGAGGGCCACACTGGTGTGAATACTGTGCCAATTTCATGTGGGGTCTCATTGCTCAGGGAGTGAAATGTGCAGGTAAGAGCTCTCCCCTCTTTGCTTTATTGGGTAAGTTATGCAGTTATAAGGAGTAAGTTATAAGGAGATTTGCTGTGAAACACATACAACGGGCTGGGTCACAGTTTGCCCTTAACACACATGCGTAGGCTAGATTCTCACGCAGCCACTTTGGAAATCGATATTTTTCTGCCCTCAACCTTCGTGTACATAATGGGCAGTAGACTCAGGCTCTGGTACTATTCCATTAAAAAGAGAGAAGTTGCTT